TTTTGAGAAACAGCCTTATTGAAAAAAGTGGGGCTTAGAATGTTAATAGTTCATGGAAAAATACATTGGTGAGCTGTTAAGTTCTCCCAGAATTTATGAACTGTGAAGGTTCTCCTCAAATGCAAACAGCAGATCGTTTTAAAATTTAATTTGAAATATAAATCGTGTTATTGTTTATTAAGCATGGAAACTTGTGCAGTTCAGCCTTCCAACATGATTCCAGTATTTGAAAGATTAGGAAAGAAAAACCTAGAAACCGCGGTGAACTTAGCCTGACCACATCTGGCTCCGGTCAGTGGCGCAAGTGTGGGATACACTCTCTGGTGGAGATGCTAAGCAGCTGGGAAGGGCCCACGGGTCCTGAGTCATCCCACCGCCAGAGGAGGTTTGCTTACTAAGAAGCGAATGTGGACGCCCTTGTCTGACCTAAGAAAGACGGAAAGGGCCGCCTACCCCAAAGCAAGCCCTCCTTGTTTTGCCAAGAGATCCGAGTTTCTCAGCTAAGTATCCCTCTCAGAAATAAACCTGTGCTCCACTGGACTACACGGCATCATAAATTGAGAGGTGACTCAACTGGAAGAGGTTAGATTAGAAGTTTAGCCAGCGGAGCACTCCCTACTGCTTGAATATCATTTTGGCTTTGGGGACTGTTCTTAAGAGCATTTGGTTCCAAGTTTTGCATAAGAGCAAACCCCTATTCCTGGTGGGAGGGAAGAAGCAGACAAATCATTTTATTTCATATGCAGATATGTCAGTGTCATTGTAGAAATGACCTTAGAGATAGCCATTAATGCCCTTTGGTTCTATGCTAAGTTGAGATCACGACATTACAAAAGTATTTATAGAGCTAATTCTTCCTAGGTCTCATCTGGGTCCATCTTTCTTTAGATTTCCTGACAGTGTACAGAAGAGGCCTGTTTGGACTTAGAGAAGCATCCAGAGACTTCCTTGAAAAGCTGTCCTCCTTCTAATTTCATACTTTTCCTTTTATTAACAGATGTAAATTTGAAGGGAAAATACCATTTACTATAAGCCATTTGGGGGTAGTCTGCCTCTCAGGGATGACTTACTCTTTGCATTTGAATGGCACATATGTGATTGGGAGCTTAAACTCCAGACTCATCTGTGCCCCAGCTCCGAATCATCCTGCCGTGAACTCTGCGCGTGTTTTATGATAAACACACATGTGTATGAGGTATGTGACCTCACTGGCAGTCGGTTACAATGTCAAGCTGTATTGGCAGATACCCAAGAATTGATTGACATGCATCATACAGAACTGGAGTTAATTAATATGTCTACCAATTCCCAAAGGTACCAGAGGAAACAGAAAATCTGTTTAATACAGCAATCAATGCCATGCTGTGTGTGGTCAGAAGGCATTCACTATTCAGCCAGAGTGGATTTTGGAATACACTTATGGAGTGTAAATATTGCTATGGAAATGCAGGGGAGTTAAAGGAGGTCTATTTTCATAACCAGGCGGGCGTTATTTTGCAAACAGTTGTGTCATTCCTTAAAAGGAGCTGCTAATTTTCTCCTGAAAGATCTGAAGCTATTAAATGATGAAGAGAGCTTTCACTTGCTGCAAAAGTGATGTGTCCACTTCTGTGGCATCATGTCATTTCCTGCCAATGGGATTCAAAAAAAAAAAAAAAAGCCTTGGAACTCATGGGAGACAGTGAGTTATTTTAAAGGAACATCACTGCAGAGGAAAACACTGAATGTGAAAATGTACAGGGACGTCTTGATTAAGTGCAAAAGGCGAAATGTCTTTTTTTCCTATGATGCAACTACTTGTTATATGTACAGACAAGGCAGAATTTTAAACAGAAGAGCATGTTGCATTATTTTGTGCAGTGGGGGACAGAGAACAGCAAAATATACATGGAACTTGTAAATCAGCATTCAGGAGAAAAGCGTGTCCTTTATCTGAACAGTCACACTCGTGGGTAGGGGTTGTCACAGGCAAATGTCCCGAGAGCTGAGGACCCCTCACCAACACGTCTAGCTTTTGCCCTGACTGCAGCTGTGTTTCTTACCCTCCCAATCCTGCCTTCCTTCACTGTTTCTTTTTCTCAACTCCTCACACAGCCTAGCTGTTTAAATCTGACGGTAATGTTCTAAGAACCCGCATAGATCAATTTAAACAGATTCCCTCTTAAGGCAGCTTAGGCATTGGAAATTGAATTGGATGCAGTCTAGACGAGCTGGCTGGATAATACCTTTTCCAGAAGATCCTCGACTGACTGTCTAGACTGCTTTAAATTCCCTGGGTAATCACACAGTCTTCCTTCTGACCTCCCGAGGAGCCCGGGACAGTATTTCCCGATCTATAGTGTTCACTGAAATCAAAACCACTCGGCTTCTGAAGCTCACACCTCTCTCAAAGACTCCGAGGGTGGAGTCCCAGGGAAATGCTCGCACCCAGTGCTCCCCTTAAACGGGCGTGGGTGGGCAGCTTTATTTATTTATCATTTCAGTGGAGCGGCTCCTGGGCACATGGCCTGGCTCCAGGACCGGTGGCTCCTTATTCCCCTGGCTGCCCACACACAGGGCAGCTGTGAGGAGCTGATGTGTTGGGAAGGAGTTCAATCAAATAGCACCTTCAGAAAGGAAAAAGAAAATCAATATTTAGGAGAAAATGATAGAATTCCAGGAACCACATTTGGCCCTTAATTGAAGTAGCTGGGTTTACGTAAGCCTGAGATTTTCAAAAGGCAGAGCTTACGTGCAGCATCACCCGCGAGCAGGGGAGCCCCGTGCCGGCTCGCACGGACTCTGGCGGAGAACGTCTAGGAGGCCAGGTGACAGCGACGACCAAGAAAGCTTCAGCCAGAGACACAGATTCCCATTTCACATTTAAAGAGATGGACATTTGCTTGGTACAGAATTTCAGTTTCAACATAGGCACTGACCCCCTTTCCGAAGGCACCTACTAGCTCTCCCCGCAAGGTTTAACTCTCCCCGCAACCACATGAAGTTGCGAGCGTTTGCTTCCTGGGTGAGAATCCTGTTGTAGAGCAAACAGCTTGCTGTGGTTCAAGCAGATAGAAGGAATCCATGCTGCCGTCTGGGGCCAGAGGGTGCGTTTTCCACAATGATGGGATCAGAACTCACACCCTGCTTGGAGGGGTGGATGACAGCGAAGTAACTGTAATTAAGCCAATCTCTAAAACAGTTGGACGTGGTGAAGTGGGCTTGGCCTAGGTGTTAAGGCACCACTTGGGATGCCTGCAGTCCATCTCGGAACGCACCGTGGTGCGCCCGGGTTAGAGCCCTGGCTCTGCTCTGGGGTCCCACTTCCTGCTAATGTACCCTGGGAGGCAGCGCTGATTGCTCAAGTCCTTGGGTGCCTGGCACCCCTGTGGAAGACCCCGACTGAGCTCCTGGTTCCTGGCTTTGACTTTTTGGCTGAGCCCCAGCCATGGTGGGCATTTGGGAGTGAGCCTGTGGATGGGAGTTTCTCTCTCTCCATCTCTCAAATTAACAATAATAATAATTTCAAAACTAGCTGACACTGAGAGTATAAAAGGTTTTGTCAGTTTTGCACAGTATAAGACAGAGTCTCAGAGGGGTTAAGGAATTGTTCCACAGCTATTACGTTATTATGTTGCAAAGCAAGACCTGTCTCCCACAGCTCTGTGCTAAGAGCTCTGTGTACCTGATCCATCACCCATCAGGCACTGCCGATTCCTGGAAGATATAAAAGGTGCAACACAATGTGGAGAAAGTTCTCTGGAGCTACCCCCAGGACACACGGAAGTGGCCCCAGGTTTCGGCACAGGACAGCGGGAGTGAGAGAAACAGAGGGTGACAAAGTAAGTAGAGAACATCACCAGGACCAGGTGCGAGAAACGACGCCTAATTTCGGCAGCATGACGCCGGCAGCTTAAGTAGGACTCCATTTTCTTGGTCACTTTCTGCCTCAACCTCGTGGCTATGCCAGGAGAGACAGAATGGGAGGAAGAACGTGGAGAACAGGCTGATGAGGGTCAACGGCCCTCACTGGCGATTTCTGGGGAAAGCGTTTTAACCCCTCGGCTCATCAGGGAAGAAAAGCACACGCGTACTCTGGCAGCCACATGGTCTCGAAGGTGCCTTCCTAGACAAAGAAGGTACAACACAGACTGCTTCTGCTTCTGTCTTTTGTATCAGAATAATGCGTTTATATTGTTTTAGGGTATCTTACAAATTGAGAGGGTCTAGAGTTTAAGGTATAAAGAAGCAACAGGAAAATTGTATCTTTCGGATTCCCGAATTCTTCCTGGAACAAGTCTTTGATTTTTTTTTAGTATTTCTGAATCCCATTTTGGAAGAAAACTGCCACAAATGATGTTCTCATCACATGGACACCTTCATTCCCCTTAGGATTTTGTGCCAAAAGCTATCAAAAGCCTACAACGGAAGGTTATTGATAAACCCAACTCACCCAGCTGCATTGAACAGAAGCAACTTTCCCTCCAATTTCTAATTAAGTTTATCTAACTGTGATTTCCTAAAACAGCTTTTAGAAAGACTAGGCAAATCAAAGAAACATGTTTTTGTTTTCTTCCTTCTCCATGCCATCAAAATAATGACAAATATAAAATCAAAGCTTGGCTGAGCCAGAACACAAATGCAACTAATTCCCGTCAAACGTGCCATCGGCCCCCTGCCCACATGGGACTGCGTCCCGCCCTAATCCCCAGCAGAGGAAAACCACTGGGCTGGGCGGCAGACACTTCTGGCTGAGGGGAAGCTGGCGGCACGCGAGCCCAGGCGCCAGCACGCCCCAGTCAGCCTCGCTGGCGTCTGCTGCTCACGCACCAGGGACCAGGCTCCGACACCCAAGGCGAAAACACACAGCACCCGTCCGCTGCCTTCCTTCTCCTGGTCCGCAGTGACTGCAGGCTGCGGGACTCATTCTCCCTGCCTTCACAGATTCTGATTAATCACAGCGTCTGCACTGGAACAGCGAGGGGGCCCTGGGCAGACGCCGTGTTTCAGAGCGGCTTTACCTCAGGATGATGTCCAATTCCAACGTAGGTGCAAATTGGGTGGAAAGCCCCCGTTCCGCAGGCGTACAAGTGCGTCTGATTGTAAACCTTGAGCACCTTGATGAAGTTGGCACACTCTCTCTGCAAGACAAAAGCAAGACCCGTGAGCTCCAGCAGCCAGCACCACCGAGGCCCCTCCGGGGTCCTGGGCAGGCTTGAGCAGGTTCTCCCCTTTCTCACTCCTTCCAGGACACTTTAGGGTGTGTTGTTTGTTCTGTTGCTTTGTTCAGATTATCACCTGCAAAAAAATACCGAATTTCTTATTCTGTTATTTTTTTGGGGGGGGGCAATAAGCCCTTCCATAACTCTCATTAAAATTGTACCTAATTTATTGATCCAAATATAGAATGAGAGTTCTTGACAACCACTAAGCACAGATGAGTTTTTTCAGGAAATGAGAAGAGCAAATTATTTGATTCATCAATGAACTGACTAAACAAGAAAATGGCGAAAGTGTCCTTACAAAAATTAGCTTTCAATTTTAGAAAAACCAACAAGAGGTAAGGTAGAATTCTATTTAGACATGAACTTTATTTTTATAGAAAACTTTTATTTAATTAGTATAAATTTTGAAAGTACAACTTTTGGATTATAGCAGTTCTTCCCTCCGTAACCACCCTCCCACCCACAAACCATCCGATCTCCTACTCTCTCTCCCATCCCATTCTTCATTAAGATTCATTTTTAATTATTGTTATATACACAAGATCAACTCTATACTAAATAAAAATTTCAACAGTTTGCACCCACACAGACATACAAAGTATAAAGTACTGTTCGAAGACTAGTTTTACCATTAATTCTCAAAGTATAACACAGAAGTCTTATATAGATAGCAGGTGCACAGTGACTCCTGTTGTTGATTTAACAACTGACACTCTTATTTATGACATCAGTAATCATCCAAGGCTCTTGACATGAGCTGCTAAGGCTATGGAAGCCTCTTGAGTTCACAAACTCCGACCTTATTTAGACAAGGCCATAATCAAAGTGGAGGTTCTCTCCTCCCTTCAGAGAAAGGTACCTCCTTCTTTGATGGCCCGTTCTTTCCACCAGGATCTCACTCACCGAAATCTTTCATTTAGGTCTTTTTTTTTTTTTTTTTTGCCACAGTTAGACATGAACTTTAAGCATCATTAGTAGCTCACTTTGAACATATCTGAGTATTCATATGCTAAATAATAAAAACTGCACAAAATGCTTTGTATATTTTCTTTTAATTTAAAAAATGATTTTCATTTTATTTGAAAGAGAGACAGAGAGAGGGGGTCTTCCACCTGCTGGTTCACTCCTCAAATGTCTGTGACGGCCAAAGTAGGACCAGGCTGAACTGAAGCCATGAACCCAGCACTCCACTGAACCCAGCACTCCACTGGGCTTTCCAGCGGAGGCAGAGACTTGACTACTTGAGTGATCACCTGCTGTCTCCCAGGGTGAGCGTTAGCAGGACGCTGGATGGGAGGCTGAGATCTGACCCCGTGGATAAGGCATGTGAACGTTCCAAGCAGCAACTTCGCTGCAGCAAATGCCTGTCCCACGTTCCTTATCTTTTTGAATTTATTTTTTTTTGTCTATAAATATTTGGATTTAAGAACCAAGTGTATAGTAGCTACAAATGGAGAGACAGATGTGAAGCAGACTTTACTGCAAGTAAGGTTAGCAAACAGAACCAAGCAGTGGTGGTCTCGGCTCCTCCAAGTGTGCTGCCCTCCCAGCCATGCGCCACGCCCTGTGACTACGCCCTGTGCCTTCTCAGTGGAGGCCCAGAGTGCGTGCACTCAGGTGGTCAGCAGGGCTTCGGCACCGGAGCACTGCAGTCATCTGAGTACGCTGCCGTCTGGCATTCCCATTCTGAACTTGGCCCAGGTGAAATGAAGAGCGAGCCACCAAGCGTCAGCACAACAATCGACAGCGAAATGGAAATGATACTGTCCAGCATTCCTGACCTTCCCAGGGTGAAATCTGCTGTTGTCTGGGATGTTGTCCGACAGATGTAGCCTCCTTGAAGCAATACACTAAAGGCCCACGTTAGGACTTCTCACGCTTTCTTTACATATGCTGAGACACTTGGGGTCCACTGACATACACACACAATGTCTTCCACTGTTTAACCACATAGATCCCACATCTTTTAGCACGTAAAACGATGCTCTGAAATCAACTGATTTTGTGAGTGGCTTGGAGAAAACGGTTGGTGGCTGAAAAAAAGGGTGGACGCATCGCATTCACGCTTTGCTTCCAACAGGGCACACGTCCCAGGTACAAGTGTGAGACAGAGGAACCTTAACTTCCACTCCTCTTGGCAGCAAACTCTTCGAACTCCAGTGGTTTCCCCTCCTCCCCAGGAGGATGGGGCACACATGCTTGGGCAGAGGAAGGAGGCTGTGGCGAGGGAAGCATCTGAAAAACCCATTTACAGATGAGGCGTCATGAGCCTTACCCAAAGGACGCATTTGTACTCTAAAAAATTCAGCCGTTTGCGGAGAAGTCATTTTCAGGAAAATGTTTACTTTGAAACATGTAGGTGGCCGCATATTCTGCTTTTACACAAAGACCATCATCCTCGATTGTGGGCTCAATATTATAGTATTCGAGATTATAAATAACCAGTTCCAGCACCATATGTTGAGACCAAGAAATTGGCTGGGTATATATTGGTAAGCACACGGAGATTCTGATAAATAATCGTGGCAGACGCAGATGGATGGCTTGTTCATTTCAGAAAAGAACAGGACTCTGGCTTGCCTGCCATGCTTTTAAAGACATGCACAGGCCCACCAGAAACACCGAGGCGATTCCTAGAGAGGTGGGAGTCGATTTTAGCTCTCCACAACGAGCGAGGAAGGAACTACATTACGTGCATGGAAAACTGTGAGCACAAACGAAGGTTCACGTCACCACCACAACTCTGAGGACCTGGGTATCACAGATTTGGGGGGCACTTCGTCCCCTATAGCTGGGATCCTCGATCAGCCATTTATCAGCGACTCGGTCTGTTCCCCCAGGAAGCTGGCAGGTTACAAATGACGCCTGAAAAGCTCTGCAGGTTTTGAGAGCTGTGGGCTCAGGCCACGCCCAACATAATTTTAATTTGTCCTCTGTTCCGCTGTTCAAGAAGACCCATGGCAGCAAGACAACCGGTCTGCTACAGAGCTGCTGGAACAAAATCACAGGCCCATAGCTGTGAAAGCTGGCGAGGGTTCTGCTGAGAAGGCTGATAATGGAGTCTCTCTGTGGGGCAGAGCAGCCTGCCCACCCTGGCCTGGGGCCCGAGATGATTCCCCTCACTTCCCTGCCCCGACCTCTCCCGCTGCTCTGCAGGTTGCATTGTTGCATGCCTGGGGCGAGGTAGTAGTACTGAGACAGTGAAGGTTGATGCAGATTGAATGCAGAGAAATTTCTTGGGCTTCAAGGGTAAAATGATGCTTAAAGGGAGACCAAGGAATGGAAGGAATCCTTTCAAAATTGGTTAAAAATAGCTGAGAGGAGAATCAGCCACAATGCAGGAGGGAAGCTAATGAAAAGGCCCGGATGGAGAAGACCCAAGAACCAAGAACGTGAAAGAGCCATGTGAGTGAGGATCTGTTGTTCACAGAAAGCCTACTTGAAAGAATATCAATCCTGTCATTCATTTGCCTGCACTCGCTAGCTTGATGCTGCCAAGGTTTTTGGAGTGTTCCAAAACAGGATATTCATTTTATTTGGAAGCAGATTGGACATTCCCCTGAAAAAAGAAGGAAGCGTGGCAGAGAAAAGGAAACACACTTGACACATTTCTGCTCTGGGGAGACAGAGGAAGAGTGTTTCTGACCTTCCCTTGAACCATGGCGATTCTGAAAACGCGGAATGTAATGTACTTTTTGGCATTCAACTACCGCCCTGCTCGGCTCAGCACCGGCGGATTTACAGAGTCATAAAGACAGTGTAATCAGTTCCAAATGAATTCATTTTTCCAACCTTGATCCTTTTTGGAATTTCAGTTGATGCACACAGATGAGCTTAGCAACAAGTTGGCTTCCCGAGGGTCAGGCCACCAGGCTGACCTCTCCCTTCACTCAGATCTGCTGCAGATCACCGGCATGAGGAATGATAATTGTGGAAATAAAAGCGAAGGCAGTGAAGCCCAAGGCCACACCTGAGCAGCAATCATTCCTCTGCCTGGGTGACAGACCATTTGCTCTTACTCTCTGCAGTGGTCCTAGTCTTTTCAGGTCAAATGGATAGAAGAATTATGCAGGAAGATATTAGCCTGGAAAAATAAATTTAAAGAGGATGTCTCTCCCCTTGCCACCCCTGCTCCCCGCCCCCACCCCAAAAAAAAGATAGAGGAGCCCAAGGCACAATGATTCAAAAACAAACATTGCAGATACGTAGCACTGATTAGACTGTGTGGCACAGACTTTTCCTGGACGGTTATAAAAATAAAGTCCATCCATCTGTCAAAACAACTGCTCCGTGCATGAAAATTAAAACAGAACTGAGGTGTTGTTAACTAACTTCCGATGATTATGCTTCCTACAGAAGAATGTAATCTACCTCCAGCTCCAATTACCTACTCGCATGCTCTCAACTTATAAAAGGAACAGCGAAATTTTACTGTAAATAAGAAAAGTAGAGGAGGCTGTGAACATGCACACTATCTTACTCAAATCTGTTCAGCTCCAGATGAACTCAAACAACTTGTCCCGGCAAATATAAAGCCAAGGGAATGGCTCTAGCACTGTGCTGCCTCAGGTCCGAAAAGATTCATCCTGAAAGAAAAAGAAATGGCCTCTGCCTCTCTCATCAGCAGTTATGCAGAAAGACTTTAATGTATAGTCTGGCAGCCGGGAAAGCCAAGGGAGCCATTTCCATCCGTGATGGGTGGGTTCATTTCTGCATGAAAATCCACTAATAAGCTTAATTCCTGAAGTTAATCTGTTGAGTTTCTTTTCTCTGGTCCATTTATTTGGCAAGCTGGATGAACACTCCTCTCCGTGCCAAAGCTGTAATCCGTGAGATTGTTCCTGTCACTCACGTCACCCCTCCTCCTCTGTATTTAAGTTGTTCCATACTTATCTGGCAATAATGTTTTGTCTTGT